TTCATGCCTCCTCACCTATAAAGACAGGAAAGCAGTGCATGGAGAGGTGCTATTGCTTTCCCCATGCAAAGATGGGTCTAGAATCCATGTATTCCATGCCTTGACCACTCAACGGAAACAGTGAGGACATAGTGAATGAGAACTCAGCAAAGGCAGCCTTTATAAGCCTGTCAATTCATCAAATGACAATGATGCTGCTGGATATGTGGTCACATACTCCTTACCCAGTTTTGGGGGACAGAGACCACCTGATGAAACTTCCAAAAAATCTTTGTGGTAATGAAGGATTTTTTCAAGGCAAGGATATCTCAGGGAAGTACTGTGAAGCTGAGCTATTAAGAGCAAAATAAACCAAACCCCCCAAACTAAAGGCTGAATGTTTTGTCTGATCAGCAGATGCTAATCCATGATGGCAGGGAGGAGAATGAAGGAATTTTGGATTGTGAAGTCAGGAGTGAGGGGAGGGGAGGGAGTGTGGGGATGGGAAGGACGGTGGGATAAGATGGACATTAATACCCTATATACATGTATGATTATACTAAAGGTGTGACTCTGCAGTATGTTCAGCCAGAGGGAGGAAAAGTTGTGCTCCATTTGTGTACAACGTGTCAAAATGCGTTTTACTGTCATATATAACTAATTAGAACAAATTAAAAAATAAAAGAAAAAAAAGTATAGTTCTGAGTCTAATACATCTAGGCTCAAATCCCAGACCCACCAGTGCTAAACTACCCCACCTAGAACTGTTACAAAACCTTGCTATGTCTCAGCTTTCCCACTTTAAAAATTGATATAATAACAGGGCCTACAGCATAAGGTGTTTAGGAGGATTGACACCCAAAATGCAGCTTCTGACATATAGGTGGCAAGTACCTATCAGATCAGAAGAGTCCTGTGTGGTAAAGGTATTGCCTATGGATCCAGCCACTTCTTTTTCCTTTTAATGAACTTCTCTGTGCCGAATTTCTCTGACATTCTCAGGTTCTCACTGCCTCTCTGAACTCTGTGACTCTGGGTTCTGCTTAGCAGACTGAATGGAACACAGCTATTCTGATTCTTTTTACTGTATTCATAGAAGGGTGCTGTTTCAGAAGTTTTAAAGTAGGTAAACCTGGTGGACTTCTAATTTGCCTGGCTCCACTTGCATTGAGTTGGGACTGACCATTTCTGGCTCATGAACTTCAAGTAGACATGACATGTATGCTTTGGGTCTGGGCAGTTAGGAGCCAATTAGTTTCCTCTCCCATCTGTCTCTTTCCTTGTCTAGGTAAAGCTACACATTGCAGATGGTATAGCTACAAGATCAAAATCACATAGACTTTACTTGAGCTCAAAAAAAAAAAAAAAAAAAAAACTTCACTGTGTAATGTCACTCAGAATATGGGGTGTATATTTTACTAGATTAAGATAAGGCAAGTGGTTCTCAAAGTGTGGCCCAGGAACCTCTAGCTGTTCCTAAGATACAGTCAGACTGTTTACTAGGTGAAAATCATTTCATAGTGATGCACTGATACCTCTCATTGTGTCAGACCATACAACAATTTTCCAGATGCTGTGCGAGGTTTGATGACGTCCTTGCTCTCAGAGCTAACAGAAAGTGTTCTTATTCTTCTGTTTTAAAAAATTCTGTTTTAATTTTTATGTGGTAAATGTTTATAGATATAATCCACAATAACAAAAGCTGTTTGAGAATCTTCAATAATTTTTAAAGGTGTAAAAATATCTGGAGATCAAAACACTGAACTGGTCTAACTTGTCTTTTCCAGAATTGACGTGAGCAGAAGGAAGTGGGATATAGTAACCCCAGATTCTTTTGTTTTAAACCTAATTTTTAAAACATTTTTTAATGAGGGAAGTACAGAAGTACAAAATAAGACATGAATGCATTTTTAATTTAACAAGTTTTTGGTTTCACTTTGGCTGGGATTGGGTGACTGAAAGGGATTGGGAGTTAATGGAATATTCAGAAGATGGGTACAGAATTGAAAGCCTGGATCACAGGTAAATTAATAACACAAAACAAAAGAAATTATGTAGTGGCACATTTTATTGCTGATCATGGTAGTCAAATGTTGGTTGATAATTTCTACCCATAATATTAGCAAAAATGTTAGTGAATAAATTATGCAAACAGGAACAGGTAAGTTTAGGAGACTGGTTGTGCTCTGTCTTTCCTAATTAATTATTAAAACAAAAGGATTATGATTTTGTAAACACCTGTTTTCTGCTGTATTCTTTATATTTTAAGGGTGTAAAAATATCTGGAGATCAAAATATTTGAGAAACACTGAACTGGTCTAACTTGCCTATTATAATTAATAATTACTATTAATCCTTATAATGCATATAAATTTCATTTATAATCTCCTTTAAATATGAAACTGATATTCACTATCAGAACCAGAATTTTATTTATTTATTTTTTCCTAAGGTCCTTATGTTTCCTTAATGCCAAGCTGATTTGATGAAATCAAGTCAGTGACAAAGAGATATGATTATTATGAAGGTGTGGTTATGGAAATTTTTCTGACAGTTTGGTTTTCAACTGTCACCCCCACAATACCATTTCTGCTTCAGAAGTTTAGTGCAATATTTGGAATAGATGTGTTGCTCATTTCTTTCTTCAGATTCAATTCAAACACCTGCAGTGGTTTCTAATTCTGTATCACCATTTTGGGTCTTCTTTATTCATTCAGTCACCAAGGATGTACTGAGTTCCTCTTACCTAGGTGATACTGTCCCAGATGCTGGAGATATAGTGTTAAACAAAATCCATAAATGTTCATGCCCCCTCTGGAGCTTACAGCCCAGAGGGAGCTGGGAGTAAACAAGATAAGTGTATAACTTACATATGTTAGAGTGATAAGGCCTAAGAAAAATACATTTTAAAAGGAGATTTGTGGGAGTCAGAGGAAGAGTGCAGAGTCCAGTTCTAGGCAAGATGGCTTAAGGAGGCCTCACTAGAAAGGAGATGTATAAGTAAAACAATTTAAGAACTGGTGAAGCTGTTTGGTTATCCAGAGGAAGAGCCTCCGGGAAGAGTGGGTGATAAGGAAGAGGGTGGGCACTTCAAGGAGCAAGGAGCCTGCCTCTTGCTGAAGCTGAGTGAATGAGAGCTTGCATGGCCATTGCAAGAATTTGGGAGCTCTGCTGTGAGCAGGATGGGTGCTTTCTTAGCATTTTGAGGAAAGACATGATCTGACTTACATTCTAATAGAATCACTCTGGTTTCTGGGTTGGGGATCCTGTGTGCAGTAGAGCAAGGGGAGAAGTGGAGACCTATGAGATGTGGTTAAATCTGGGTTGTACTTTGAAGGTAAAGTCTATGAGATTTTTCCAGCACTTGTTTGTGGGTATGAGAGAAAGAGAGGAGTCAAGGATGAGCCTAAGACTGAGGCTCTGGAAGGAAACAAACCCTATGGGGGAAGATGGAGAAGGAACAGGCTCAGCAGAGAATACCAGGACCTTAGTTTTAGTTCTTGTTCAAAACTGAATGTCTGTGCCCCCTCCAAAATTCATACATTGAAATCCTGTTCTCCCCCGCCCCCAAGTGCAATGGTTTTAGGAGCTGGGGCCATGATTTGGTCATGGTGCATGAATGGGATAGTGCAATCATGAGAGATTCCAGAGAGATGCCTCTCACCTTCCACAGTGTGAGGACATAGTAAGAAAGCACTGACCAAGAAATGCACTGTCACCAAACAGTGGATCTGCTGGTGCCTTGATCTTGGACTTCCAGACTTCAGAATTGTGAGAAATAAATTGTGGTACTCTGTTTTAGTAGCTCAAACAGACTTGGAAAATACTTTGATTTTGTGCTGCCTGTCAGGCTTTGGTATAGATGGTATGCAGGCAACTGGATAGAGAAGTCTGGAGTTCAGGGTATGCACTGGAGACATGAGATTGGAACTTATCAGAATAAAGACAGTATTTAAAGAATGAGTAAGAATATAAAGGATGTAAATGTGAATAGAAAATGGAAACAGTCCAAGGACTGAGTTCTGGGCTGCATAATTTAATGGTTTGGGTTGGGAGGGAGAGAAAATCTGGAAAAAGGAAAAGAATCTAAGAAGGTAAGGGCTCAACTCATCTCTCTCATAATCCCACCATCCTATGTATGCTTCCATAGACTGTGAGAGATCCAGCCACCTGGGTCATATAGGACCAGCTTATCTTACCTTCTTATCCACACTGGTGTAATGACCCATGTCTACTCCTTTCTCACATTGCTTTGTCCTGGTCCATCTTTAAGGAACATTTTCAATGCCTTTCTTATATCCCCAAATCTCTCCCATGTCTTTGTACCTATTGGCACATTAATTCCATATGACTCTCAACTATAGTCCTTTGTGTACCTATTTGTTATTGTCTAAACTGCAAGCCATGCCACTTTGCAGAATGCCTTGCCCACTTACTGTGCAAACTTGCATTTCATGGAATGATTGCTGGGCAGGTATAGGCAGGAGGAAGTGAAGCAAAGAAGCAAAGAATGTCTTACACTAAGTCATAACTTCATTTGGATCAAAAAATTATGTGTTGCTGTGGAAACACAGATCTGTTATTATATTTTTATAATAATAAGCAATATAAAAAAAAAAGGATTCAACTCCTTTGGGAATAAGATGGACATCACTGCCCTAACTGCTTTTTTTAACTTTTAAAATTTCCTTAAAATTGAATGATTGAGAGAGAATAAAAAAAAAATCCACAACAAACAGAGACATGATGCTGGAATATGATAATTTTAATAATACAGGAGATATAGTCTAGTTATTTGCAAATATGCCTGTATTATATTTCTAGTATAATATCATATGCACATTACCTGCAATCTAAAATGTCCTTGCAGATCTCCATTTGCTTTGTTGGCTGGGTTGTGTGCCCTCCAGGGTGACCACAGGGCCTGTTTCTTACTGTGTTGTTCAGGGATGCTTTAAACGTTTACTTTACCTGCCACAGTACCACTGGGTTTCCCAGCTCTATTTATTTATTATCCTCAGTTCAGCCTAATGTGGAAGGCGGTGTGGATGAACGATGACTTCTGGCTGCACAATGTAATGGGCAGTCTGTCCAGCTCCAGAGGCATCTGAGTATGTGACTGTGGCTCAAGTGAGTAAGTAACAAAAAAATCATTTCAATTTTTTAAATCAAGTCCTACCATTGCCTGGTAAATAATGTACCTTAAATGTTAGTTGGGTTAGGAAAACCACTAGTAATGAAGAATAGGAAGGTTCTGGCCACACGAAGGCAGAACCAAAACAAATAAATAAAAAGGGGTGAGTTTTGTTAAACTTCAAAAAAGGGCTTATTCGGGAATGAAAGTTTTTATTTTTGTTTGTTATTGACTGGCTTGATTTCCTTGTTTCCACTTTAGGTTCTTTTTTGCCCTGGAGACTCAATGATTTTATGTCTGGTGGTTCATAAGTTACAAGATATCTGGAATTAGGTGGTAAGTATTTTTCTTTCTTTAGTGTGAGCCTATAAAACCTCAGCAGTTTGTATTTTAAGGCAATCAAAACTAAATGGAGTCTTGCATAATTGGCTCCCTCTTTCTAATGTTTCCATAAAAACAAAATACTATAGACAACCCCTGAAAATATAGAGACCTTTTTTTTTTCTTTTTTTGAATGTAAATGGAATGAAAATTAGGTTGAGAATAATTGCCCTATGTATGTACTCATACACATATGAAAAAAATAACACCTTTGAGTCTGTTCACATATTATAGAGTGATTGGAAATTGGAGGAATATTTGGAATAATTACTCTTCTTAAAGATGAAGTACCAAAAAAATAACTTGGATAGCCTGGGCTTTTAGAGGACCAAGCTGATGATAATTTGTTACTATTGTGTGAACTCCCTTCAAAATATCTCTGAAAATGAAAAGGATGAGAGATAAGACTAGTGAAGGCTCAGAACTTTTTATTAAATCACCCATCTTTTCATTTCTATATCTTAAGAAGAGTCAGCCCTTTCACAGCTAGCACAAAATGACCCAACCAAAGTGTGCAATGGCTTTTTTTTTTTATCCTTTTATTATAAGAAATATCTCCCTTTCCTTTTTACCTTCTGGGGGTCTTTGGGCCCTAGAACTTCTAGAAAACTTGGGAAAAAATACTCCAAGGAATAATTGAAACTGATTTGACAGATCTGGGTGTTGATCTGGACAGTAAGCTCTGATGTTGAGTTAAGAAAGATTATTTTGGTGGAAGATGTTGTTTTTAGGGTTAGATATGGCACTTTAGAAGAAATGGAAGTATAGCATTTGTATCTTAGAGTGTTGCCACTCTGATGTGGCCAGGCCAGGCCAGCATTCAGGGAAATGGGGGCTGGAGAACATACCTGGCAGGAAAAGCAGCATAGTGAACCTCCCAGTAGAAATGGGCTTATGGAAGGTAGTTGAAGATGAAGACCTGTGGACTCAGGATAGGAGATTATTCTAAACACGAGTAAACAACCTCAGATATGGCATCAAATAGAGAGCCGAGAACTTAACAGAATTTGCTTCAGGGAAATAAAAAAGACCGAGAGAGAGAGAAAGGTCTGGTGTGACCCGGTAGGAGAGAAAATAAGGACAAATGTGAAAGTGAGAAAGGATTTAAAGAGACTGACAGAGGGGAAGGGCAAATGGAATTAAATGACTTGGGAAAATTAATGGCATAGCCATATAGAACTGCTCCTCCTTGTTGGATGTATATGTTTTCTGGAATTCTATGCCAGACAGGGAAAGCATAATTTAAATTAGGCTAACATGCATGTTCTTGGTTATTAAGTAAAATAAGAATCCAGAAGTCCTAATAAGTGACTGAAGTGACAGGAAGTATTAAGATTGTCTCCTAAGGTGTATATTCTATATTACAAAGTTTGGGAGGAGGCTCTGTATGGAAATGACTAGAATAAATTTAATTCACCTATGACTTAAATATCTGGAATATACACAAGCAAGAAAACTATGATTTTTGAACTTGTCAAGCCAAAAAGCTTATTGAAAGTGAGGAGGATTTTCCAATCTGTATTTTGGAGTGAGATTGTTACTAGTATCTGAGAAAAGCTGGAAAGTAGCTAAAGGTGGAACAAAGAAGGAGAAAAGGATGATTTTAAGTGTAGTAGGTATACGTAGGATTCAGCTACTAGGGGAGAAATTGATAAAATTCAATCACATGTCTATAGCAGAAATAATAATGCAAATAGAACTTAATTGCTTTAATTTAAAGGTTCAAATGGGCAGAGAATAACTGTAGAACATTTTCTAAAATGAATAAATTTACCATAATTTCATACATTAAGCAGAAGAATTTAAAATTAACTAAAGTGTGACTTATAAGGCCTGAAAATCACATTATTCCATTTGCTTATTATAATTGGTAGAAATAGTACCTGTCTAAATAGGAGATGGAGTAGAACATACAAGGCCCATGGAGCCAACCAGAATCCATTTTTCTCATATAGTGTTCATTTAAATACATTAGACCATTGGTATTTGTGAGTATTGAAATAACTTCACATTATATTTGCAAACCCCTTGGTATTTGTTGCATTATTCCTTCTCCTCCCTCATTTTAGGAATATTTCTAGCAACATTTAAGATGAAAAGGTAGAATTTAATACTGAAAATTGTGAGTAAAACTTTATACTTAAAATGATTAATAGTTAAGATTTAGATGCTATTCACATGGAGATATTGAGAGATGGGGAAAAACACTTGAGATTTCATAATACAGCAGGAGAATTTAATGACTCTACTGCTATAGAACATTTAAACTGTTCACCATCATTAACTGAATTAGAATAAGATATACTCCATGTTTTATAAATATGTCAAGATATACTCTACTGCCACATATATCTAAAATGAACAAATAGCTGGACATGGTGGGCTATGCCTGCAATCCCAGTGGCTAGGGAGGCTGAGGCAGGAGAATTGTAAGTTCTAAGCTAGGCTCAGCAACAGTGTGGTGCTAAGCAACTTAGTGAGACCCTGTTTCTAAAAATACAAAATAGAGCCAGGGATGTGGCTTAGTGGTTGAGTGCCACTAAGTTCAATCCCTGGAACCCCCCAAATAACTAACTAACTAACTAAATAAATACATAAATAAAATGAACAAATAAAAATAATTACTGATCAGGAAAGAATGGAATAAATTTAATTAAAAATAAGCACCCATAAAAATAATGTAAATAGTTATGGGTTTCTTCTAAGTAGGTGTTTTTCATGGATTTGCTATCATTGCTCTGAATTTGAAGGAGGCTAAAATAGTGTTCACTGGACATCCTGTTGAAGGGTCAAACATTTAAGTTCTCCCTGGTATGTCTCAGGCAACTTCAGTCACATCCTGAGGTCTCATGTGCCATTTTCCTTTGTCCTGGACTATTTGTGGCCAGTCTCCTTATTGTGCCACTCTTACCCCAAACTGGAAGCTAATCCACTCCATGCTTTTTAGAACTAGTAATGGAACCATTACTAGTGGTGAAAGATTAGGTCAACTTTCATCCTTAAAGAGTATCACAGAAGAAAGGCAACGGGAGATGAGAAAGAATGCAGAGGCTGCCGATTAGGAGAGACATTCTGGCCCTGCTCATTCTGGCTCTGTCCACCCCATGTAACGTACCTCTGTGTCCCTCTGCCCCCTCCCACAGTTTCCCCCCATTCATTGCACTTAGTTACACCTGGTATCACTCTGTATGTGTCTGTTTATCCATTCATTATTGTCTCCTCCCCCACTAGAAAGTACAGTCATCCCTTCTTATCTGCAGTTTTGCTTTCTACAGTTTCAGTTTCCTGTGGTCAACTGCAGTCCAAAATTAGGAAATGGAAAATTCCGGATGTGAATAATAAGTTTTAAATCATGTACCACCAGATAAAGTCTCATGCTGTCCTGGTCTGACCTACCCAGGATGTGTGTCATCTCTGTCTTCAGCGTATTCTTGCTCTCCCTGCGATCCACCAGTGAGTCACTTAGCCTTGGTATGTTGCTTTAACAAAAGCTCTGAGGGCCCACCTACCTAGAAAGCAGCTTAACAAGGACACTGTGGTGACTTGCACAGCCTCCTGTTCTTCTCACTGCCTCTCCTTTTCTCCTTACTTTTCACTCCAAGTAGCTTATCCAAATTTCTGTTAACTGTAAACCATCCTTTTCCCATCTTCCCAGGGATGGGATAGGGTCCATTATCAACTGGTTCACCATGTAGCTGTTTGTCTTCGTTCTTTAACTTAGGAATGTCTTTAGTTATGTTGTGTGGGAAATGAGTTAACTGCAAATATTTAGGGCTAAATTTCAGGAGCATTATTAGGTAAAAAAATAATTATGAAGTGTGGTAATATAGAGTTGACAGGATGCATTTTTATTTCTTTGCAATGTAATCATGTAGGAGCCAGTGGCTTTAGTGTATGACACACATGATCTCATTTTTATCTTCATGATATCCAGTGTGCAAGCAGCTATCTTTGAATTGCATACGAGGCAACTGAGGTTCACAAGGGTAAGAATTTTCTTAAGTTCTGGCAGTAATAAGTGAAGGAGTCAAGACTGACCAAGACCAATGCTCTTGCCACTGTCCTTTCTGCCTCCATGTGAATTTCCTTTCAATGGCAGGAATAACTGGTAGAGATGGACATAAAAGAAGTAAATGTATCATTGAGGAATGAGTACAGCTGGTACTATTCAAGAATTGCGGGACAGGAACACACCTTATTTCTGTCTAGTAGCTTCCATACCACACCTAGAACCATTTATATGTTTTGAAATATTGAGGGATTACTGTGATTTGAGCACCATGCCTGACTTGGGGATATGTCAGTGCAGGACGCAGAGCTGTTGATATTCTACATCTTAAACCTAGTCTTGCCACTAAAATAGAGCTTTTGCCTTCACATCATCTTACCACCCTCATGGCCCCATAAATACACCACATTGGATACCTCTCCTCCATCCCACCTTCCATTCTTCCATCATTTCTCCTATATCTGGCTCGCTCCTGCACTAACCGAGGCCCCTAATACACATTGCATTCCTCTGGGAAGCTCTAGGTAGGACCACATAATAAATTCCTGGGCCCTTGTTGCTTCTGCCTTCAAGGGCTCCATCCTCCATTAAAAACAACAACAAAAATGGTAATGATTTTTTTCATGATTGCCTTGGTATCAAGATGAATGTATTAACAGTACATATTAAAACATTTTCTTTGACCTAAGAGATCTCCTTTTGTTTTTTTCCTGTTTTTAAAATAAAGTAAAACCTTTCCATGCACCCTTAAAAGTGTTATGGGAGGGCTGGGAGTGTAGCCCAGTGGTGGAGCACTTGCCTAGCATGTGGGAGGCTATGGGTTCCATCCCTAGCACCACAAAATAGCGGGGGGGGGGGAGTGCTATGGGGCCCTAGGTTGTGTATGTACTGTGTCTAATGGATACATTGATTGTGGGTCTAGGCACCATCTGGCCAAAAGCTATTGCTGAGAGAAAATCAGACAAAATTAGGAAGATATACCCTCTTTGGTTTATTATGATCTGTCTGTTAGTGGCTTTTCTGGGAGTTTAAGACTTCTGCCCTTTTGCTTTGGCTGCTATAATCATCACTTAGCTGTCACTTGGTAATTGCCTAATTATATTATTTGGTGATAAGTGAAGTTTTTAAGTGACAAACTCTTCCAAACAGCTGTGATTGGATTTGTTTTTGATACTTTATTTAATTTACAATTGCATTTGTAAAATCATGGTCTAATTCATCTAATGACCCCCATCACAGGCTGTAGAATATTTTCCAAGGGTGTTTTTCATCATACACGAATCAACACCATAATTTTAGATGGTTCCAGAGAAGTGGGCATTCACATAATTCCTGCCATTGGTTCCCAGCCAAGAAGTAACACACTCCCCCCACACACAGTAAGAAAGTTCTTAATGAATACAAAATGTTTTACCAAAAGGTTGAATTCATCTAGTAATTTAGAGATATATCTTTCTCTTCAAAAGTTTTGGAATCTAGTCCTTGACCTTTTCTATTCTGTGCCCAGTATAAATATATTTCTTCGGATAAAGTTAATGATGTTATAACTGATCCTGAACAAAAGGTTAAGTTCCTATAAGGGCCACAATTGAATTTTTGGTTAATCTTGTAAAAGTGGTTTTATCTGTGTTTTGTTTTTCCTCTAAATTTAAGTGTCTCTCTTAATCAGCTGTCTCTTAGAGAGAATTTGTGTTATTTTTTCTCTTTTAGGGAGACCATGATGGTGACATTTAGAAGAATCTGAGTAGGGATGAGTGATGCCCGATTGTGTTTTTCTGCTTGGTAGCAGCTTAGAGTTCTGAAGAGTCTGGGTTGTGCAATGAGAAGTTTGTGTGCTTAGTGAAATGTTGTCCAATTGGCCAATCCTCTAGGTCTTGGGAAATGTCCTAGAAGTTTGGCAAGAAGTTGTTCTCAAGAGAGCACAAATGCTGCCAATTTCCAATTGGCCAAGACACATTACAAGGACCACCTTCTCTCCAAGCAACCTGGCATTTCTATTCCAATTGGAATTTGCAATGTGAAGATGCACAGGGGAAGAAGATTAAACAAACCTTTTCAGATTTCTGGTCCAGGTGAATCTTTCATCTTATCTACCCTGTTCCAATCTTTTTTTGATCACTGACCATTTTGAATATTAGGGAATAGTGAGCACGTTACAGGTTAGTTTTGAGAACTGATAAACATCCAGGGGGAAAAGCAGGATGAGTGAACCCAGATCTATTTTTATACATATATACAAAGCATTGAGCCTGACTGTATGGTTCAAATTGTTGCTAATAACATTAGATCTGCTGTGTGAGGCAACCTGCCTGTCATATTGGCCCTTGCTCAAGTGGCTCCCACCCCTGATGCATATTTGGGAAATGGTGACAGCTGTGCTCTTTGCCTGGCTGCTTCCACTTATGAAAACATGGGGGTAAATGGCAGTCACCCCCACAGGCCCCTTTACTGTGAATCTTCTTTTCTAGCTACAGCCAAGAGTAAAAGCCCCCTGCAGAATTGAATAACAGTCATTCAGAGCCTACCTCAAAGAGGACTAATTTGCTTTATACAACAAAGATCTCAGGAAATTTAAAAAAAAAGAATATATTTCCTTTATTGGAATTTATAAATATTTTTGTGTTTTTAAAAGAACTCTCATTATGCTATTTTAACTCAGCCACTGGTGGTAGTTCAGGTAAGCAAGACAAAAATAGTCAATTATACCAAGTGGAATTTCCCTCCTGAAGTTTATTTCCTGGGTGTGGCTGGGGAAGGATTAGAAAGATTGGAACCCACCATATGCCCCTTTGGCAAATCCAGCCTCATTCTACCTTTTATGCATGGTCAACAGTGTCACCTCTGAAAACAAAGTCTAGTGGCCAATTAGCTGATACGGTTCCTTCAGAGTGGGTTAATTCATCCTCATTGGTAGAATGTGCTTCTGGGGTTTTGCTCATTCTTTGTCTTCCCTGCCATATGCACACAGCATAGAGGGGAGCCAAGGAGACTTTAGAGCAAGCCTACCACATTCCCCAGGTCTGTCCATGTTCCTATGATCTGAAAGCTGTCCTTTGAAAACTTCCTCTGATTCTATTTTCCACTCACTGCTAGATTCTCATTTCTGTAAATCCCTCGGCCACAAAAATGTCCAGTTAAAGGAGCTTAAGTGGGTGAAAATGGCTATCAGATGACTGGAGAGGGAAGTAGAGGTTTTGTGTGTTGCTCCTAGCAAGTGTCCTTACTCTGTGATCAGGCATATAGCTTTTTTTTTTTTTTTTACAGGATGCCTTAGACAGAACTGTTCTAGTATGTAATAAATGATGAGAGAATAAATAAAAGAAGAA